ACTGTGAAACCAATTCAGTTCTGGGAAGGGGAACTAGATTCTTTTCTGGATTGTCCATCTGCAAAAGGATTATTACCTAAATCAAGACATACAATTTCTACTTTTATGATGGAGGAACCAAAAGAACCTGATTTAATTTCTGTATGCTAGACAGAAAATGTTATTTTTATTTGTGAAAAGAGCAGATCTGGACTAACAGGAAAGACATGAAGATCTACACATCACTCTCTAAAGTCATACTTTACTGAAAAAAGAAGTATCCAATATTTTTCCATGGCATTCCTCAAAATATCACTTGAATGCAAAGGAAAGTTAATAACAAAAGTTTGCTAATAGTTAAAACTACTCATTTTCCCAGCAAAGGAACACCACCAAAGCTAATACAGATATATTCATCCTGTGCACAGCTGGGCTTAGCACAGGGGCTTTGGTCCCCAGTTTGCCCTGAGTTGCTCCTCAAGATTTTCCTACTGACTTGGGTTATTGTATCATTCCCTTCCCTACCAGTGGCACTGCTTGTGGGGACCACTTCCTAATCCACAAAGTAAAATGAACCAAGTTATCAAAGTCCTCCTGTTTAATCTATTAAAAGTATTGCAACTCATTTTGACACATGGCTTACGAAGAACTCGATCAGGCATCCAGCTGGGGGCAAGCTGGAGGTAGTAGCCCCCTTCACCAGCACAGCTGGATCTGGAAGAGAACATCAGCCCACGATCTAGTTTATGAAGCTTTACAGAGTGGAGCATCTGCCTATACCTGTGTCAATCTCAGCCTTTCTCATGGAAGTAGATTTTAAAAGAAAAAAACCAGGAAAGAACCACCACAGGAGTGGCAGAGTATCTCAGAGATGACAATTTCCCAAGGAGGGTGGTTTCAGGGAACAGAAACACTGAGGAAGCTGCAGTGTGTTTCTATACGATTCACTTATTTAAAACAAATTATCAGCAGAAAAAAAAAGGCAATATCCCAAGGCAACAGAAAGGAAATCAAGTGTATCAAAGCTATTCCTGAACTCCCATTACCTACCCACTTGGCAACGCTGACTTTTAAAATTATACTACACCATTCATTTTTACTCTCATGATGCAAGGGGAAAAGGAAGAAAAAAAACCCTCTCCCATCTTACCCCCCTCTTTTTATTAAAATATCTTAAAAACAGATCTGTATTGTTACTTCAAGGTTACTAATGTTCGTACTGTATATATTTATAGATGAGGTATTCCTTTCTGTCTGAAGCACATGAGGTAATAAGTAGCTGGAATTGTCATGGTGATTTATTAACATATTCTCCAGGAGAAGCCCTGCACCTGCGTCTGAGCAGACAGAACACCCACGAAGGCTGAACTCACCCTTACACAGCCCACAAGATCTTAAAAGGAAATGCTCCAAATTTAGACCTGCTCCAACAGGTGTCTTTTACTGTCTCACTTTGCATGACCATAAATATCAGAGGTGGAGCAAAAAGCTCCCCGTCCATTGTAATCGTGCTTTGAAAACAAATACCTTTGCCCTCTCCGAAAGCAAAGGCGGCAGGTATGGAATTCTCATCATTTCCTCACTCCTTCATCCTGCCAAGACCGAAGTCAGAGAGATGTCACTGGCAAAACCAGGCTCCAGGGATGAGCACATAACTTTATTTTTTTTCTCTTCAAAAGGCCCTAAGCTGGCTCTGAAACTTCCCCAAACTGTATTTCTTTCATTCTAGTATCTCATCTTGCAGCTATTTGCCAAAGTGAATGACATGCACAGGCTGTTCATGGCTTTTTATAAGCTCTCATTACCCAAACAGGGAACCATTTCCTTGAAAATGCTTTCCCCAGCAGCATCAGCCTCTCTAGGCACCACCAATAAATTTGTCTCCTGGCCCATCTTGATGCACACCAAAACGTGCCTGGATGAATGTATTTGATACTGTTTTGCACTTGTTTACTGGAGGGAGGACGTTACCTGTGGGACTTGTCATCAGGGTGATTAACAGCACAAAGGGGGAAAAAATTATTTAAAAAAAAAAAAAAAAAAAGCAGCCCAATTTTAACAGCTCAATGGAAAGCTTTGCCAGATTTGCTCTGGCAAGCAAAGGAGCAAAATCCAGACTCCTTTCTGTGATGTAACAAGGAGAGGCATTCTCAAAACCAAAATGGCTATCCACAACTCACAAAACCCCAAAACAAATCAAAACGACTAATCTGGAAAAGAAATCCTAACCAAACCGAGAAAGAGAATAACAGGTCACACCACGGACTTAGAAATCCTATTAAAACGTTTCATTCTGTAACACTTTCATTATTATAAAATGCCTGAGTCAAGAGCAAATAAATATTTAATACTCAACAGGTACTCAGGAGAATGTGTGTTTTCCCCTGTCCCTCCCCACCAGCTGCTCTTTTATGGCAGGAAAGTGAAGAGCGTGAAATCCAATGATAGGAAGAAGGCAAAGGTCAGGAAAAAGGTTTTTCTTCAAGGATTTAAATTAGCGTTCTACAGCTTTGGATGTTTTGTCAACACAACTTCCCTCCTGTGAGGAGGGGAAGCCAAAGGTCCTTTGAACCATTTCTGTATGGGATCTAGATTTTTACCAATAACAAGATTCCTAGCTTTAAAGAAAAGTTCATCTTCCCTCTTCCCATTTCTCGCACCACTCCCTCCTTGTCCCTCCTTGCACTCCACTCCTTAAAAAGGGGGAAAAAAAATAGAAAAAGAAAAGGATCTGAAGAGCAAAACAAGCACTGAAGGAGTTCTAGAGTTCATGTAACAAGACCACCATAGCCCTTCAAAGGGACCATTAAAAGCAAAACAAACAAAAGCAACACCCTCAAGATGTCTATTGTATTTTGCAGAGGAACAAATGAGTGCACTGGAAATTCTCCCATCTTGCCACAAAGTCTGTTATTTCATCAAAACAAAGTCCAGAGATCAAGAAAGAGCCAACATGGTAGCTGAAAGTCAGTCACTTTAAGTGATCCATGAAGAAAAACGAGATTGGGCTTGCTCTTTTTTTTCCCCTCTCTCCTTGCTTTACTATGATGTATTAAAAAAAAAAGACTTCAAAGACCATTTTAAGCGTCGCTTTTGTTTCTCACATGAGAAAATCAGGGCTTGAGCAGGTCTAGACAACACAGTGGTTAAAACATCGTTAGCTGCCAACGCTTTGTCTTCCTAGAGCTCCCACAGTTGTTCTTACCCTGGAATTGCCTCATTTGAAAATATTTGACAATTTCCATATACTATTTTGCTTCCCTCAGAGCTTCTCCAAGATGGCAGCTATAAAACAGAGTGCGCGCACAAGCACACACAGCAGGCAGTTGCAGATGTCAGAGTCTCACCCAGGTGGATATTGGCCCAATGCTTCTGTCTGATGCTTCAAAGCATCTTTTTCTTAATTTTTTTTCTTCTTTTTAACACTTAGCAGATTTTCTCTCTTTGTGCCTCTAGAGTATCCTCTCATCTGTGGGCTTTGACAGCTGTGCAGATGGAAATGTAAGAAAGACAGGGAGACATACAGATTTTTATCGCATCTGCATATCATCCCAGTTATGCTCAAGAAGATCTGCTGAGGACCATGTAACTGAACAGGTGTTCCTGAAAGCAAAGTTTGGCCTGCAGGATAAAGCCTGATTAATTTACCTATAGGGTAACAGGAATGAGAATCCTCTTGTTGGATGAACCTGTAAAATCAGAGGTCAGCTAAGATCACACATGTTACAGCAATTTCTAAGTCATTATATCATAGCCACTCACTAGTCCTAGCAGAAAGCCATAAAGACAAGCCCATGATTAACAGCAGATAAAATATTCCTCACTAGCCCAAAATAGATCCATTAGTCTTCATTTGCACAAGTACACAGAATTCAACAGTGCTGAATTTCCTATACTATGTAGATCGGCTGCTGTGGATGTACAGGCTTGTCTGCAGCTTGGTCCCTGCCACATCCAAGAAAAACCCAGGAGAGTGCCAGTGGGAACATGGTGGGACAGGCTCTTTCCATCACACAAGTTAACTCTTTTGACCACCTTCCTTCTAGGGTAACCCTTAAACTCCGGCAGAAGAGGGGACATCTTTCCACAGGCACACAGCACCTCCCTTGCATCTGGTAGCAGGATGTCCAAGGAAAGACTACACCTAGCTGTGGCCCACAAGCACACTCCAGAGGCATTCTCACAGAAGAGATTATCTGAGAGCACACCCCAGATGTCCACATCCTTGACTTATAAGGTCCACATGGACGAATTTCCCAGCTCCCAGATGGCTGCCCCACAGGTGTCCAATCTCACAGAGGTTAAAGTCTGACTGTCAGCCTGAGACAGACTACAAAGGCTGGTCTCTCAAGGAGCCAGCAGAGCTTTCCACAGAACATGTCAAACTATGTGTGTCTGAAAAAACTAAAATCACTGTGCAGAAGAGCATGAAGAGCAACAAGCCATCTTTCCTTCTTCTGCTGATGGATATGAATTAAGCTGTGGAAGCAGCTCAACTAGTCCAGCATATTTAATAAATTCATCAAAGTCTCCAGTGCAGTTTAATGGCAGATATAACGTGGATTGTCTAATGAATCATTTTGGGCCTAGAAAGACAGTGGAGGTTTTGTGCCTTATATGCAGAAGAGTGTCATGAAATCCTGAGAGCCTCTCTCAGATACTCTGTAAATCCATTTGGGACTTGGCCAATGAGACTATCATTGCATTTACAGACATAGGCCTACCACCTCTGAATCTAAACTGTATCTGAACTACAGTGATAGTGGCTTCATTTCAAGAAGAGTAACCTTTTCACCCGTTCCTCTTCTTTCCCTGGTATTTTTCACAATAAAAGTATCAGACAAGCCTATCAACTGATTGTAATGATGGAATAAATAATAAAATACTGCTTCCTGACTATTGCAAAAGGTGCTTTTCCTCTTCCCTTCTCATCCTACTTTGGATTTAACCATCATTCCTAGTCCAGAATTATTTCCCCCCATTACAAGTTCAGTTTCTATTACAAGGACTCATAAGCTTACTTCTGAAGGATGGATCTTTTAATGACAAGTTCTTCATCCAAGTCAGCTTCATTAGCCATGAAGAGCAACCTTTTTCCTGTGTCATCCACTCCAATGAAGTCGCGCTGCTCCACTGAAGTAGAAAATCAAACACAATCATTATATAACCCTGGCTTAATGCAGACTGGAAAGACAAATGGAACCACCAACCACCCCCAAAATACTAGGTTTCAGATTTATCCACAGTATTTATTAACTTTTTTCAGTCAGGGTAGCTAATGTGTATCTTGACATTCAAAACATTGGCCCTGCAAGCTTTTTGTATCCTTTTAATGCAGATGACAACTACAGGTCCTGACATGCAACACTCCATCTCGAACTGTACTTTTCTATTCTGTTTTTTGTGGTTTTTTTTTAGTAAAAAGTAAAAAAACCCAACAAACCTGCTACCTGAATTTACACAACAAACCCAAGACAAACAGGGAGTTCTTAAAAATCCAACTGCTTCTTCCTCATCGTAAATAACTCCACATTAGAATTTGGTGCTCTGGAGAGGATTATGATTTCAGTTAAGACAGAACTACTTCGCAACCAATCTCCTATTTCAGATAAACCCTGATAGCAACAGGAAACCTAAATCACATACACATAAAAGTGTAGATTCTAAGACTCCTACCATTGATGTTTCTGGGAGGGGGTTAACTTAGTTTAAATACCTATTTATAAAACTGCCAACCAAGAGAATACCTAATAGTCACATGTATTATTGTGGCAATTCCCATCTTCTGCAATCAGCGACTATGCATCAACAGTGACTTTGGTCTACTGAAATGTAAAGCATTTATTCTTGAACAGTTTTCCACAACATCTGAATACAGGGGTGGCAGCTTATTCTAACTTGCACTTTGTAGTATGTTCCATCACTCTGGTGGCAACTATACAGTCTTCACAGGAACACAGGCTGTAGAAGAATGCCATGGTGCAGTTCTAATAAAAAACTCTTTTCTCCCACTAAATACTATCCTTTTGGGCCAAACTGGCAAATATTCAATCTCCTAAGTTCTAAGCCTTTAACCACACTGGAGTAACAGCATGCTCTGCAAGTAGTTGATTCCCTAAGATCTTTTCTCAGCCAAACTCTTTTTAACCCTGTTTTCCCCAGTTCAGCCCTGTCCCTTATTTTCCTTATACCTATTCCTTCAGAGTTACCATAGCAACAACCACTATCAAAATACAGTCAAATCTACACAGCTGTTGAAAGTTCTCCTACTGGCAGCCTTTGATCCAAGTGATCAAGCGTGCCCTCTTCAGAAATACCCCCCCAATCCCCTCTCAGAAATTAACCAGACAGCAAAGAAGTACAAAAATAGGCCTGAACATGTAACACTGTGACAAATTCAGTACAATTAGGATAAAGCTCACTTGCTGTAAAAACTCAGGAATAAGTCTTGACAGTGTCAATCCGCATGCTAAGGAGGATGATGAAGTTTGAGAGTAGGAGTTAGCTGACCACTGCCACTGCCACCTAACCAGGGCCTCCTGGCAGGCTAGAAACACAACAGTGACCAATTTCCCTCCACCAAGGTGCCAAACACTTCTCTCAAAGTTGAGGTCATGACTGGTTTCCCTTGCTTGTGTGGATAGGTAAGAAACAGACAGTGAAACCATGTGAGAGCACTATTTTTTTTTTGCTAGTGGATTCCAGGGCAGGTTTTTCCCTGTATGCTGGCAATAAATAGCATTACTTTTGTAATTTAGAAAAGACAAAACTTACTACTAAAATCAATTACCCAGAGATACAAGAGTACTGTTTCAAATCACCCTAGCATTACTTAGTGAGGAAAAAAAAAATGGAAGAACAAATACGTAACTAGTTTACAAAATCCCTGCAAGGAAAGTGTGAGAAAAATGTTAAAGCTGCAGTGATGGTAACTAAAAAAATCGTTCAAAGTATAAAACCAGAATGCAGGATGTGTTCTGCCTCCTCGCAATAGATACATAAGGATCTGACACAGCTATTGCAATTTATTAATTACCTTAGAAATTAGATTCCCATCAATTTTGAGGGCTTTAATGACCTAAAGAAATCATGACATCACAAAAGAACGGAAGTTGAGCAATTCAGTGATGAGAAGAAATAATTTTCAGTCAGATTTTCTAAAATGCTTTTTAATCAAACATAATTAATTGACACTTGGGAAAAAGACACCTTTGTTAAAAATTCAGTATCCCCACCCTTTCAATTAAAGGGAGAGAATTCACACGATGCAGCCTGCAAGACCACCAAGAGGTCTTCTGGCAAACACAGGGAATACCAGCGATGACATGCCTGCTGCTTTTAAGACAAGAAAAACAAGCAGGAAAGAGTCACCATCCCCATCTTTTCTGCCTTTCTTTATACAGAAAGGTTCAGACACTCTTTCCCACTCAATCCCTTGCAGCTCATCTTTAAGCACATGGCTCCATTCTGGGTGTCTGAATTCCTGACACACACTGTTTATTTGGGTTACTACCATTCACTAGCACTCTGCCTTTTTTTTTTTTTTTTAATTGCCATACCTCCTATTGATCAATTAAAAAAGCCAATGAGATTATTATTGTCAATATATGATCCCCCAAACATAAAAAACAATGAACTTCACCCTGTAGCATGCAGTTGAATTATGTCAAGTATTTCAGGAAATCATCAGTATGAATTTACAGCTGCTTAACACTGCAATTCATGCTAATTTAAAAACTGTTCCTTATCTCACAGTTCTTGTTTAATAATATCCCGAAAGCAACAACTTTGTATCAGATTCTGTGACATATGAAAAATAAAACTCTTGTTGCTACTTCGCAAAAAATAAATGAATTTGTAGGAACAGTGAAACAATAAATAAAGCTGCAAAAACATCTAGAGGCTCATCAGGACTAAGGATATCCATTTCCCAACAGTAACACTTGAGCAGCACAGCACAAGTACTTATATGCATCATGATTTAGAGAAGGTGCTAACAATCCTCATACTACGAAAAGCTGCCTGACACACTCCACATTAATATCTTTTCTCCTGTTGTTTCAAAGTTTCATCAAATTTTAAGTGTTTAGGATAAAATTTCCAATGCCAGGTGCTTGCCTTAAGAGGAACACTTGGAAAAACTTCAGGAAAAACAATTCAGCTACTTCTAAGGCTAAAGAAAGAAAACCAAGAGTGTTTAGCCTAAGCTTAAATGGTTAGGTGGCCCTTCCCTTGAAAAGCTCTGGTATTCCAGTTCTTCAGAGAAGCAGCATGACATTCAGTAAGCGCTGCTGACCTGTGTATCAGGAGTGTACTTTTTGCCATCTGACTCCATTATAAATCTTTGAAAAATTGCAGTTTCAAGTGCTCTTCCAAGACTTACATTTTTTGCTGCAAAAATTTCTGCATATTTTATTCTTAAGGAAAGGTTGCTTCAATTCCTCAGCTCCTAGAACTGACCAAAGAGCAGGTGCTATCTAAGATCTTCTGTACCATCAGGTGGTACAAGCAAAACATAAGCCATGAGGCTCCACAGCCATGCTGTGACGACTGTTCCAGGGGAAAGAGCTTGATCTATTGTGGTTTTTCAACCTATTTTTACAAGGAAATAAAACTTACAAGCTCACAAGAGTAAGGGGAAAGAAAAGCATAAAAACAAGGACTCTGCAAGGTGAGCTGGAAGGGAGAGCAAGTAGTCCCTGAAAACTGGTGGAAATTGGGACTGTCTTCGAAAGGACACTAGACCACAGAGACAGGAATCAGAAGAGAAGAATAAAGGTGACTATGGTCAGATAAATGAAGCAGGTCGAGATGAGAAGTCAAAAGTAGAACAAGGGATGGGACTGGTAGTGAAAGAAAGAGTAGTATATGAGAAGGAAAAGCTAGACGCTTGAGAAGGATCCTTGAAGTAGGAGACTAAGCAAAGAGAACAAGAATGGAGACTGCTGGTGGCAAGAAGCCAGCATGGGAAGAGAGATAGGGATGAGCTAGGACAATGATGACAGCAATAGGGTGCATTCAGTCAAGTAGGAATGAAAGGTAGGAGGGGCCAGTGCTCCCTAAAATGTACTGCCCAGCTCCAGAAGCTGGAGAAGAACCCAAAATGCCTCAAATCTCAGCACACCACTGATTTTAGCAAATGACTCAAAAAAGTCTGGTAGGATACACAACTCATCCAAGGCAGTTCACAGAAAACAATTATTAGAGCTATCCATGACAGCTCAAGTAGAATGGTTTTGAGTGGGAGACCTTAGCATCCAGCCCCACAGAAAAACACTGTGGGGTGGGTGACAAAACACTTCTGTATGATGGGATTCTAATGTTTTCAAGTTTGGTTTTTTACAGATATGAGAAACCATACACACATTTTTTAACAAATCATGTAAGAAGAGTAACGCTACAAAGTCAAGCACACAGACATTAAGAAATAAGCAAATTAAGAATGCGTGTGCAACCTGATGTGTTTACATTTATGAAGAGTCTTCAGGTGATCTTATTTATCCTCATAGACCTCCTTGCCCCCACCGTGTGGGCTCAGAGCTCACGTACTGGGCAGCTCCATGATGTTTAACCATAGACCCATGAGTTTATAACACTTGAATGCTCAACTCTGTGGCTGTAGTAGTGCTCTTGACAACGTTTTATGTGCTATTATCACTTATATTGCCTTTTAAAAAAAAGGGGGGTTTAGAGCTGTTTGAGAGTCCAAGTCCTAAATGCTTTCAGCCCTACTACCATTACACTTTGCTCCAGAAAATCTTTTCATGCAGAGTCTAAGCAGCTTTCTTTTAACAACACATTTCCTCCAATTTCAGACACACACGTAGTCCAACTGTTGGCTTACATTCCACTTCTCTCTCAAACAGTTTGAAGCTACGCTTTCTTATTTGTATTACTATAGTGCCTCTGATCTTTAATCACGGACCAGGACCCACTAAGCTGGCAATAATCAAGCCTCAGCAATTTAACAGATATCATTAAAAGAAAATGAGAGGTATGGTATGGGAACAACTGTATAGTATTAAGTACTTTTAGCATATAAGTAAAATGGGGATATTAGCCCTGCCCTGCCTTAGAGCTGTGTTGTGAGAATAGATACATTAAAGATTACAAGACACTAAGATATTATGGTAAAAGGGACAAGATAAGCATCTAACCAAGTCCTTGAAATCAGTGGGAGTTTTGGCTAGCAAAAGGCTCCTGGATGTGCTCTCAGAAGAATAATTCAGTGCAGATCACGAGAGGGGAGAATTTCTAGAAGTATTTGTTACCCGTCTAACGCTGGCCTAAAGTCAATGGTAAAATTCCTAGCTATAGTCTGGTTGATGCTTAGTGCTCTTGAAAAACCTAATGGTTTTAATGTTCATATGTAAGAAAAATTTAGGGTTTGATCCAAAGCTCACTCAAGTCACCTGGAGCTTTTCCCTTAACTCTTGTGAGCTTTGGATCAGAGCCTGCAAGATTACATGAGTCTAATACTTAATTGTGAGCTGGAAAAAACCAAGTCACACCTCCACCAGGGAATTTGAGTTAAAAATAAGGTATCTGTACCCTTTTTATTTCTTTTGCTCTGGGATTGACAACTAAACATATCATGCATACTAGTGGTCTCTCCATCATTTAGTAACAAATAAATATATGCATTCCTATCTACGTACCTGGCTTTTTTTTCCCTTTCTGTCCTGGTACCACTTCTGTGGGTTCGTGAGTTTTCTTCATCAACATGGAGAGAGTAGCATCATGTGTCCGAAAGAGATCCACAACTTTATATAAATCAACATCTGTGATCAGATCGCAGCTCAACACCAAGACATCAGTCTGTGAAAGAAGAAGAAAAACCCAAATCCTTCAGAGATACAAAAGACCTCATATGGATTAGCATTTGAGGACTCAACAACAAATACACATAACTTCTATTTTCTTTCTTTTTTTTTTCCCCCCAAAATTTAAAAAACACAGGGTCTGCCACACTCTGCCAAAAATATTTACTTTTCTTGAGTTACCCAATTAGCTATTTGGTTAATGATTATCCAGCTCTGGCCCATAAAGAATATGTGACTGTCTAAATTGCCATCATCTGCTCCTAAGGGAAGGAACCAGGACACAGATGCCATGGCTTTCAAGACTGCCATGAAATTCTGCAGTATCTGCAACAGCTACTTTTAGTTACATAATGATGTAGAAAAGAAATCTTTCTGAAGAAATCTTTTTTAGCTGACTTGGCATCTGGCTACAAACCACTGGAAAAGATATTTAAACTATGTTATTTTATCGGGGGAAAAAAAAGCAAAGACTATCTAGGATGTGATTTACTCAGTAATTACACTGCGATGGTGGGCTCAGTTTAGAAATACATTTCCTAAAACCAGCAATACCCCATATAAAAAAAAAAAAAAAAGAGGAAGTTGGGCCCTATTTAATAACAGGCTTGTATTTAATTTTGATCTCAAAGGATTCCGAAGTGCCCTACAATGTATTTAAGAGAACTGCTGCATATATCACAGAAATATTGTCACACATTGAGTGAGATGTAGCAGCTCCATTAACCACGCACACTATCAATATGCTCTGACTAAAAACTCTTACTTAGAAACAATTTTCTGCATTTCACGTGGCTTGTGGAACATACTGCCAAAAACCTACTAGTTCAGCAATTATCTTCATTTAAACTAATCCTAACATAATATTTGTGCAGCATGGCCTACAGAAAAGTAGCAAGTTTCCACTTTATTTTTTGTTAATGATCAACCTTCTAAAGGTGTCTCAAGAAGAGAGTGTTTCTTTCTTGTCACTTACCATTTTCACTTTCTGTGCTACCATTTACTACGGTCAGCCTCCCCGCAGAGCGTGATGTGGCTTACAAGTTTTGCCTTTTTAAAAGACATTATTTAATAAGAAGGGCACTAGAAAATACTTGGTAAAACCCAAGTGATTAACTCATGGAGGATCAGTAACTCTACTTTTGAAAAAGAATCTTGGTTCAAAGCAAACTAGTTCACCATTGACCTTTTATTACAGAAAGTAATAAAGAATATAATACAGAAAGTTTTACAGACTTTATCTAACACAAGGAGATTCCACACTGTTGGTGACAAGAAACGAGATCTGGTATTGACATTACTTGACGGGTTCTCCTACAAATGCAATGGAGTTTCATGTGTTTACCAATAAGTCACTGGACCTTGTGGTATCACAAACTGTTAGAGCTGCTGATTTGGCATGCTGTGCAAAAGGTCAAGCTCTTCAATTTTCATTTGATTTCTCCCCACTTCACTGAGAAACACCTGGCTGCTTTACAGGAAGGAACAATGAGCAGGTTGAGAATTTTACACATTCAAAACCTGACTTGCATTGCCCCTTTGAACATATTCTCAAAATGTGTATTTTATATTATGGTTTTGCCCAGGAGAAGTGCTTTAATTATCACTTCTCTAAAACAAACAACATGCACATATTGGAAAAAACCCAAACAACCCAAACCACTAAAGCAAGCTGCCTAGCACTCTGGAGCAGCCCTGCTCCAACATTCCAATGTGTACAAAGAAAGTAAGAAAAAAATCCCAACTTGGTATGGAAGTCACAACTGTTAATATGTGTTTCTTCACGATTTAATATCCTGGAAAATCCAGCAAAATTTTCAGATATTCCATTTTTACAAGAGCACAATCGAGTTACAATATTTGCAGAAAAGGCCAAAAGGTATCCAAGACCCATATTGACAGACTTGTGCTTCTCAAACAGAAGGTTTGTAGAAGGAAGATACTGCTGGATTCAAATCTAAATGCTTTCACTTCAGTGATGATATAAGAAATAATAATAAGAAGATAAAAAGAGAGACAGACACACCAATGGACTTATCCTTATCCTACAAGTATCTAGACTTGTAAAACAAACCTTGTAATTATTTCACATTTTACTAAAAGCTTTAATCTGTCATTACAGCAAAAACCCAACAAACGTCTCATAGTTGTGAACAGGCTCCTGGGTTTTTTCTCCTCACTATAGGACAAGCTTTTTGCAAAAACTGAATGCAAGACCCCTGAGGAGCATACGGGAACAGAACCACCAAATGTCTGGTTGCCATCTGTTCTACCCATTTACTCTCCCAATATGTAAATAAACGTCAGTGAGCACAGGGACCAGTGAAACACACAGTTGCTCTGTAAAGCCCACATTTCTGCTTCTCCTCCTGATGAGCAGAGCAGTGGCCTCAGAAGCACGCTGAGAATACACCATGAAAGGCTCTTTTGGGACTTGACAGCCTCCCCTTTGAAACACCACCCCCCTCATAAATAAAGCCTTCACTGTCTAATGGATGCACTTTTTTTTTTCCAGTGTACAACTCCTGAACGAATAAACTAATGGCTGAATGAAAAAATAAACTATCCTAGAACCCTAGCAGAAGTGTGTGTTTTTCTTTACGTTTTTAGGGTGGGTGTAGAAGAAAGAAAATAAATGATAGAGCTTGTGGGTTTTTTACATATATACATGCCAAATAAATACAGTGCACCTTTCCCAATGAGCCACTGATACAAAGAAGAGAAGTACGTACTTAGTACATGCGCTCATGTGCTAACAAGGGGTATGTGAACATACTTGACTTCATGAATTATGCAAACACCTAAGTACACACACACATCTCTTAATGAAATACATGTAGCAATGATTACATCAACCCCAAACTATTATACAAACACATGATAAGAATCAACATGAACTGATTAAAAAAACCCAGCAAGCACACACCCCAAGCAGAACCACTGCAAAGGAAGAAAAATGCACGCACAAATGAATTCTCATCACCCATTACAACCATGGGAAGGAGAAGACATGGGTCTTAACTCAAGGAGGACCATCTAACAGATGGGGCGTGAAACAAATGCTTGGAATTTCTGACATTTTCCTGCTCTGCCAAACTTGGTATGTGCCATTTCGGTTACTACTTCTATGACATGGAGGAGCCCTTGTCACAGACCAGGGCTCTACCACAGAAGCTGCTGCACAGACCAGACATCGAGCATAACAAAAGAGAACAGCAAGTGACTTTGGGTTGGAGAACACAAGGAATCACTGCAGCACCACTCAGGAATAGGGACAGCAGACCTGCCTTGCCAGTAGCACAGCTCACCTTTTTTGTGAGCATCACAAGAGTCACAGAAAAGGAGAATATGACACTCCTTGAAGAGTCACTCGTGCCTCAGTAATTCCATTTAACCTCAGATTTGCAATTAACACAATTAAGTCCAGAATTTAGACTCAGCTCCTGGTCAGTGGAGAAAAACAAGGTCCTACAGAGATCACATCCCACCTGTGATCCGAGTTTCAAAATACTTCTCTGTCCCTACTGACCACGGATGGAGCCCTGGTCTTCCAGTGTAGCCACCACTGAACACAGACTGTTCAGTCAAGTCTGGAAACACAGCACATGAGGCCTCTCCAAATCTCCCTTTCTAACACTGCCTCACAGCACTTCACTATCACACCTTTCTAAACTGTAAGATGCTCAGATATTATGAGATAATTTACATACTCAATCTGGATAAATACAACACAGTAACATAAACCATAAGAGATTCATACAAAATAGAGAGGGGAAAAAAAAAACAGTAAAGAAAAGAAACTCAAATCCAACATGTCAACAATTATATTAAACCCAGGACAATATGTAAAATCTACACAAAAACAAGACCAAAAGCAGAATGTTTCAAGAACTCAGTTCAAGACAGCCGATTTAAAAATAGAAAACATGTTTTCAATGGAACTAATTCATACCACAGATCAAAAGATGGATGCAATTATATGGTGTAATATACCAGCATAAATAAAAAGCCTTGGACTTTCTCACACCCTGCATACAAAGGCAACGCTAAAAACTTTTTTATATTCAGCAATAATTGCTGGATGCCTTCTGTTCAAACAGGAGATATCAAGGTTACCACAGATAGCTGGCAGCAAATGATGAATTTTTAGTGGTATTCACAACACTTTTTCTATCAAGTATAGACAAGGGCAGGACCTCATAGCCTAAACTGCTGAGGGCCTCAAAAACTGCAGACTAGAAAATGAGAAAACATGTGTTGCAAGGAAATCTCTAATTTGAACAAAATCAGCCTCAAGAGAAAGAGGAAAACAAATGTCAGATTGCATTATAAACAGAAAAGCAGCAAAATATCCACGAGCAGTAGAATCAGCTCTTAACAGAACTGAAGACAGATAAGAAGTTTAAGTTAAATGTGAAAAGCCTTCAATTGCACAGTATTACAGCTGAGACTGTGAAAGGAAAAAAAAAATAATCAAGATATTAGATGGATTCTGTTCCTGCAGTCAGCCTTAGTTAAAACACACACAAACAGAGAACTTTGCATCACTTCCTGTGGTGTGACCATACAACAGGGGAGAGAGGGACAAGTTATAATTACTGCTGGAATTAAGACTGAGAGTTTTATACACAATAGCCTGGAACTTCACCCACATGTTGCATTAACAGTGGGGTTTGTGTGTAATGCTTTTATTATTCTAAAGACTGGAAAGGGAAAGAACAGTTTGGCTGTGGGCAAGCGTTTTGATTGCTTGTTAGCGTGCTCCAGGCAAAACCAGAGATACCTCCTAGCAAATGCATTACTCACCACTCTTCAGATCAGAAACTTACATCCAAGGCTTTAGAGAATCCCTTTTTATCTCAGTCTCCATTAAGAGTCCTCCAATTTCCACACCTGTGACCTCTTTGAAGCTCTATGGCTGTTGCTGTAACTGGAGCAGGGAACCTCATTTATTTTTTGATGTATGTAGGATCTTGTTAGCTACCAACTGAAATGGCT